CCTTTTTTTAAGTCGCCGACAGTGGTTTTTTACGTTTTTTACCTGCCGGACATGAAATTGAAAAAAAAATCCGGAAAATTTTCCGCGTAGGAAAGGCGCCCGCTGCCGTGGCCTAGGTTTCTCACTGAAAATCCTCGTCCCCCGTCGGCACCTTTTTTTGAATTTCTTCCTTTTCAACGCCGTTTTTCGGGGATTTCGGTTTTTTTTTTGAATTTTTTTGCAATAATATTCGGATTAACACATTTTAATGCAATAAAAATTTTTGGTTGGAGTCCCCCTTTAAAAAAAAGATTGGAGAAAATCCTGTTACAGATCGTCTCTGTGGAAAGTTCGGATAGTGAGGAATGTGGGGACGGTGAGGAAAGTTCGGACAGTGAGGATAGTGAGGATGATGAGTTTCGAGAAACTGAGGTGAGTGAACTTGTGAACAATTTCAGTTCTATCCAAAAATTACGATTTCAGGAAAGCCTGGAGTCAGAATCTGATTTTTGGGATAATCTTATCGAACTACTGCGGTAACGCGCCAGACGGGTTTAGCATGTCTAACAGGAAATACAGGAAATGCTACAGAAAATCTTCGAAAATGAGCATTTGATACTTCTGTCTTCAATCAACAACGTATTTGAATTAGTTTTTATGTTGTGATTGCGAGCTTAGCTGAGGCTCGTAGTTTCTAGGCTCGTTTAAGGATTTTATTTAAGATTTGCTCAAATTCTAAGCTTTACTTCTTGTTTGTTTACATTTAATCCGGTTTATCACTAATAAATCGTCATTGTGATCGTTCTCATTGATTTTCTTCTCTTTTTATTCACAGGAACCTGATACCCCGAACATAGTAAGGATCGTAACTTACTCAATGTTCAACTAAACTTGATAAAACCTTATTCATTAAATTTTTATCGCCAAAAGCTTCAAAATGAGTATGAACACGACTAGGATCCGCCCATTTTGATTTTCCCACTTCAAAGACGACATCCAATATCCGACATCCAGCTTGATGTCAAAGGGCAACAAGGCGTTCTATTAGAATGTAGGGTGTATCAAAAATATGAGAAAGTTTACAGAAATATTTTATTCCGATTTGTCTGAAAATAGCTTGGTAATATTAAACAAGAATAGAGCTTAATTTTTGAAGTTTACAACATTTTCTAGCTACCGTAGTTTTGGTTAAGGAGGTTATGGGTTGGCCGAATTTGTTGGCTTATCCCGCCCCTTTGGAAGGCTCCGTCCCTTTTCAGACGCTTCATCAGGATGTATTATTGGAGAAAGCAACATTTTTGAAATATCAAGATTTATATGTCAATATCAGTTTCATCGAATTTATCTTTTTATCATATTTCATCATTTTTGTTGACCATTTTCGAATGCAGACATCATGCCACTTAAACATAGACTCATTTTTCTGATTATCAGTTCAAATTTTTATGTAATTAACAAGTAAGCAAATAAAATGACGCTTTGCTTTTTTCAAAAACCTGTAAGTTATTTTTAAAAAAAAGTTATTTTTTTTAAATCTCAAAAAATGTTCTGCAACCAAAATGCATTGTTTTTCCTTTTTTTTGTGGTCTGAAGTGTTCATTTTTAAATTTACCAGAGTTAGAGCTTCAAAATGAGTATAATCATGAGCTACTTTCTTCAAATTTCAAATTTTGGACCCCCTGTGCGCGTTTAAAGTGGGAAAATCAAAATGGGCGGAGCCTAGTCGTGTTTATACTCATTTTGAAGCTCTAAATGTGGGAAATTTAATGAATAAAGTTTATCGAGTTCAGTTGATTTTTGAGTTAGTTGAGATCCTTTAAAACAATCACCTGAAAAGAAAATGTTTCAAAAAAGATAGAATCATTTATTTCAGCGAGTTACACGGACAGGGAAATTGTTCTGTACGGACAACGGAGTGTCCGTGCAACTTTGTTTAATAACACGAAATTCACCAAGCTGTCAAAAAAGTAAGGAGATACAGGAGACGATGATATTGGGGATGAGTGGAATGCAAATTTGGAAAATCCGGAAGAAGGAATAAGGAATCAGGAAATCAAATAATTCGGAAAAACAATCAGATTTAGAAAACATTACTCTAATTGTATGTGTTGAAATAGAAAATTTTCGAATTATCCGGTAGAATGAGAAATAATCAGGAATAAGGAATTCCGCTCATCTCTGTTGGGGATAAATGGGTCAACAGAAAGAGAGAATGAAAACTAGGAGCTGCGTGTTCTTCTTCATCATTCAGAATTATTTTGAAGAAGAAGAAGAACGCTGAAAAAATGATTTTGAAATATGGGGGCTTTTGGAAATATCGAATTTCCATCTCGCAAAAATCTAAAGTTCAACCTGTGATTCATTGTCACCACCATCACCGCTTTTCAAATGAAGTTCGTCGTGCTGGGCAAACAGTTATGGCTCCAATAGCACGTGATAGTCGCAGTTGGTGCTTGGAGGTCCCTGAAAAATAACTAAAAATGAAAAAAAAAACGAATGACAAATGTAGACTCTTGCCTGAACTATATAATCAATGGGATTTTGTAGAGGTTCGCGTTCATGGCAGTCATTACTGGGACGAAATGTGTGTTTTTCACATTCAATTTGACAGACTTGGCGAAAGTCCACATTTCTTTGTACCAGATTTCATCGATTTCCACGAAGCACTGGGAATCGAACGGAGTCTAGACAATACGCTAGTTTGATGAGTATTGCCTGAGATTGATTGTACTGCTTGTGAAGCAGCTGAAGAAAGAGTAACAGGAGGAATCAATGGCTGAGGATGAAATGAAGAGGGCAGCGTGTATGTTTCTGGAACCAAGGCGTAAAAGATAAGTCTTTGTGTGAGCTAGAGGAAGCTTATTGTTTGTGGCCCAGGTATCTATAGTGTTGATTCCAGATTGTAATAGGACAGGATCTTGGGAATAGAGTTTCATGTCGTCAGCAAAAGCAGAGAAGTGGAGACCAGCGGGGATATTTTCAAGAATATCATTAATGAAAATGATGAATAGGAGAGGTCCAACTACTGATCCTTGCGGAACACCAGAAGGAACCGGGAAGGAAGACTTCAATGAAATCTGTCGGAATCATTATGCATTATATTCTAACCGTTCTGGAATTAAGTAAACTTAATTATCGTATTTTTTTCCGAACTAACCCATTTTTAAAAATATTATTTTACCACTATGTTCTACTGATCTTTTTCCTTTTCTTTTATTTTCGTTTTCTATTGTTTTCTTTCTTTTCCCTTTCCCTTTTCCTTTTTTTATCCTGTTGAATGAATTTTTTGAACTGGACAAAGTTTTAAATCTAAATTAAAAAATATATATAATTCGCAAAAAAAATTATATAGAAAAACGGTTTTTCTTTCCAGAGTTTTCCAGAAAAATGCTTAAATTGCTCATTCTCACTACCAGTCTGACCACCCAGGTTCGATTCCTCTTGGATTTTTTTCCGAGCAATTTTAGACTATTCCAGAATAGACTAAAGCTGGAATTAAAATTTTTCAAGCTTTTAGGATTTTTCTTTCAATCCAAAAATGTTTTTTAGTTTTTGTAACCCAAAAAGGAAGTGCTTTTTGTGAGTCACCTTTTTTTGTATTGCAAAGGTGGTGTACGGTGAAATTTTTTATTGCATCAAAATGTGCAGAAATGCGTGTAGATTGACATAAAAATAAAGAAAACATTCAAAAAAAATCTTTCATCGAGAAAAACGCATCGAAAAATACGCTGAAAGCTGTTTTTCGTCAAATGTTCCGATATATCTGGAAGAAAAATTGACAAAAACCTGGAAAACTCTTGAAAAAACCGAAAAAAGTGAAAACGAGCGAAAAAATTTTAAAAATTTGAATTCGCGCGCTTTTACTCACCGGGCGGCCTAAAAAAAACCTCGTCCCTAAGGGCTTTCAGCGTATTTTTCGATGCGTTTTTCTCGATGAAGGAATTTTTTTTTGAATTTTTTCTTTATTTTTATGTCAATCTACATGCATTTCTGCACATTTTGATGCAATAAAAAATTTCACCGTACACCACCTTTAAATTTTGTGTATTATCAGTTCTGTAGATGGAATTGACGTTTTTTCTCTCTCTCGCTCATTTTTTCTTATCAACATAAAACTGTAAGGCAAATATAAAATTTGTTTGGTACCGAATTTCCTATCAAATCATTAGTTGTCCATTTCTCCAAATAGTCATTTTTCGCTTTATATTTAAAGCGGTTTTGAGCAAATTTTCAAAAAAAATGCACAAATGGCTCAGTGGTATTTTCGAAAATTTTCACTACCAACCTGACGACCCGGGTGCGATTCCTCTCGGTGAAAAAATTGTTTGCTTCTTTTTTAGAGCATATTAAGTTTATGCCGGAACATTCTAGATCTGAAATTGGAAATTTAGGAATTTTCGGAAAAAAAATTTCACAAAAAAATTTTATTTCTCAACTTTTCTCTCTCTCTCTTGCTCTTTTTTGCTCAGTTCTCGCAACCATTACAACGAAAAAAAATGTGGCAGTGGTCCCTTTGATTCTTCTTGTCAGCTGTTCCATAAATTTTTTGTTCTGTTTCAATTTCTGATCTTTTTTTTCGGTTTAACCGAAAAAAGCATGAAATCGACCTTGAAAACCCGTTTCTTATCTATGTTCTGACACTTTTTTTTACCTCTATCCGACCACCCAAAAATGTAATTTTTGCCAAAAAATTATTACATTTTTTGATTTTTGAAATTTTTTCACAGAAAATTTTTAGAGTGTTTCGAGAAACGTGCCAAGAATGCCAATCAGTTCTAATGATGATAATATCGAGCGTCCAGGTACCCCATTCTCAATTTTTTTTTTGAAAAACCCCCAAAATTTGAGATCCTCCAGTCGAACCAGCGACCGAAGGTATTAGCAATTTGGTCATCGCTGAAGGTGCTCCTGTTTCGAGAACGTGCCAAGAATGCCAATCGATTCTAATAATGATAATATCGAGCGTCCAGGTACCCCATTCTCAAATTTTTTTTTTGAAAAAACCCCAAAATTTGAGACCCTCCAGTCGAACCAGCGTATTAGCAATTTGGTCATCGCTGAAGGTGCTCCATTTCATTTGAAGGTGAGTTAATTGAGTTTTAAAAATAGGCAAATTTTAAGATTTTTACACTATTTTATAGGAAATTTTCTGTAGATTATTTTACTTTTTCGAATTTTTTATAATTATCAAATTTGAAGTTTGTTAGAGCGCATTTACTTCAACATCCCATAATGTTCTCTCAAATGTATGTAACTCAAACCTGTTTCAATCCAACCTTCCTAAATTTTTTCACAGTTTTCCAATTTTTATGATTTTTACACCATTAAATAGGAATTTTTACTCAAATATATACAGTTTTCAAAATTTTCAAAAATATTAACTTTGCAGCTTGTTAGGGCGCAACTACACCAGATGATTTTAGTTCTAGTGTTCTAGTGACATATCTCAGCTTCCAATAGACTGATTTTTGTACAACCCAAAAAGAACTTTTTAAACAATTCAAGTGATATAAATGATTTGCAAAAAATTGCCTATCATTTGATGTTCAACTCAAAAAAATTGGTCGCTATTGAACGGGGTTAAAAATCTTCAAAAAAAAATAGGCGACTGTGCAGCTAATTGCGTTCTAATCGACTTCAAAAATACAATATTCTTCAATATGTTAAATTGATCTACAAAAAAATTCCTCTTGATTGATATAAAAATAGTGAAAACATCGCTTAAAGCAACGTTCAAAAAATTTGGAATTAACTTTTTTTCAGCTCAAAAACTTGAAATGCTCAGAGGTCCGTTGGTTTTTCAAGAGTCGAATGGGCAAATTGGTGGCATTCAATGGAAATGACAGTTTGATACTAGAAATAATGTATCGATTTGCAAATGGACAAAGTTTGGACACAGATGCTCAATTGATTCATGATAAATACCTCAACGAGTTTTATTTCCGAAAAAAGGAATCTTCTGGAACTCCGAATGACGCGCAACAACCAAAACCTCCTCCACTGATTCTCAATCATTTATATAAAGCTTCTGATGATTTGAAGACTATTTCTCCAGCTTTCTGGAAGGGAGAACCAATTTCCATTGAGAGAGGAGCCTACTTGACACTTACCGATGAGATTATCGAGCAGAAATTGGCAATGGTACTTCAAGAGCTACAAGATGAGGTTCGGGGTGAGTAACGTTATTTGAATATTGGGTATTTGGATAGGAAATTTCTTGTAGATTATTTCAGTTTTTTGAATTTTGAGGAAACTTTATTTTGGAGCACAAATGAGCTGATTTTAAAACAGAAGGATGCAACAACCGCGTAGCTGAACCTGTATACTGCTTATCTCTATTTAAACTAATGTTGTTTTAATGATTTTTACACCAATCGATAGGAAATTTTATGTAGATTATTACAGTGTCTTGAAAAATTCAAAAATGTCAACTTTGAAATCTACTAGAGCGCGCTTACTGAACCACCCCCATTTTTTGCTCACACCCTTTTCCTAGCCCCTTCAAACCGCTGTAACTATTTTCATAGTTTTTCGAATATTACATTTTTTTATACCATTCGGTAGGAAATTTTATGTAGATTATTAAAATTTTTTGAAATAAAAAAAGATATATCTAATTTTGAAGTCCACTAGAGCGCACTTACAACATGAAGTCATTTTAGCGTAACTTGGCTATAACTTGAGCGCTTTTTTCGCCATTCTAAACATGGGTTTTCAGTTGGCACGTACCCACACGAAGAGAACATCGAGATCGAAACTGAATCAGGCAGCATAGAGAAGGTCCATGTGGTTTGGTGCTCTCCAACTTATTTGGTGACTCATAGGGAGGATGGCAAGACGAGGACACTTATCAAGGTAGGTTAAAAACTTTGGGTTGGTGAAAACCCTGTTACTGTAAGAGCTATTAAAAAGTAGTCGACTGATAAAATGTTAGTAATATTATGAAGAGCATTTTATCAGTTGAACACTTTTTGATATCTCTTATGGGAAGCGAGATAATAGGATTCCAGCACTACAAGGCCGCTGCGACTTGGAGTGTGGAGCATTCGAAAGTGGATCACTTGGTTTTTACGGTTCATGGAGTTTTGAATAACGGGAAGGTTCATAATATTGTCGATGGTGCCAAAGGGTGAGGTTGTTTTCCGCAATTTGACGTAATGGTGTTTGCAGACTGAACAAAGGAGTCAACAGTCGGACTGAAAAGGGATGTGGCATAGTTTTTATGCCAATTCACTGGAGAACAGGTTTATTTGAAGACGAGACAAGTCACAAATGTGCAAAAATCATGGGGCGGAAGTCAGCAAAACTTCAGAATCGATTGGACGACTTGAAACGGTACCATTGTAAAAAGTGTGGTCCAAAGGTGAGCTTGCTTTAAAGGTGCATATCTCAAAAACTCAATCTCAAAAGCTAGAAAAAAGTTGTTAACTAAAAAATTGTGTAACATTTAATTTTACATAATTTCATCATTTTGAAATTTAAGTAATTGTTTTTAGATTTCGAGTTATGCGCCTTTAAAGAAAGGACTCCTAGAGAGGAGAGGAAAAACGCAGTGAGGGCATGTTTTCTTTAAAGGCGCATATCTCAAAATTAGAAGAACTAGAAAAAGTAGTTAAGAAAATAAAGCTCAGGTTTTTAAAAAATATGTTTTGAAAATTTGAAAAAAGTACTAAGAAGTTTTAATTAGTTTTAAGTAGTTTTTCAGATAGCCTAAAGTTAAAAGCTTCAGAAGTTGATTTTTTTTTCAAAACGTCTTGAGCGTAGGTTTGGCGTCTTTTGAGCGGTCGCTGGGCGGCTTCTGCAGAAAACTAAAGCGACATCCGCCCTGCCACAGCTCAGAAGCCGCTTTAATCCAGCCCAAAAGTCGCGGGCAACAGCCGAGTAGACCGAGACGCAGACTTTAACTTCAAATCAGTGTATCTCCCTTGAAATTAGTACTATATGCAAAGTATATGAAAATATTGAAAATTGTATACACTGCAAATTTGTAATTATAATTTCACTCTAGCTACCGTAGTATTTAAGTTATGCAGCTTTAAAGCAACCGTCCCCTCGAGAGAGAGAGAGAGAGAGAGAGAGAGAGAGAGAGAGAGAGACGCGGCAAGGAGTGGGCCTGCCCACTTTAAAGGCGCACAACTCAAAAACTACGGTAGCTAGAAAAAAGTTGTTAACTACGAAAATGAAGCTCGCATTTTGTTTAATATATTTTGAAAACACTGAGGTACACGGTTATCCAATTTATAATTTACAGATCAAAGAAAAAGTAATCGAAGAGTTCAATAGTCTCTACGACAAATTCAGTTCTTATCATAAGGATTTCAAAGGATGTGTTTCTTTATTTGGACATTCTTTGGGATCTGTCATTTGTTACGATATTCTTACTGAAAAACCAAAACTGGATTCAAAAAAAGACACAAAAAAGAAACCCAAAGTCAAACTGCCGAAACTCGATAAATCCGTCGACAAGTTGTTCACCGTCGGGTCTCCCCTCTGGTTCTTTTTTGAGGTGGGTGGGCAAATTCTTTAAATACGATTTTCAAATTAGTCTGAAATTCTGAGACTATCTTAAACAAGACGCGAGCTTTATTTTTGCAGTTGACAAGTTTTTCGTAGCATTTTTGGTTTTCGAGATATGCGCCTTCAAAGAAAGGACCCCGAGAGGTAAGGCGTAGAGACACATGCCTTCTTTGAAGACGCATATCTCAAAAACTACGGTAGCTATGAAAAAAGTGTCAACTACGAAAATGAAGATCGCCTTGTGTTTTGTATATATCAATAACGATGTTTTATAACTACAGTAGTGTTTGAGACATGTTCCTTTGAAGAAAGAACCCCGAGAGTGACAACGTAATGAGGGTATGCCTTCTCTAAAGGCTCATATTTCAAAAACTAAAAAAAGCTAGAAAAAAATTTTATACTACAAAAATGAACCTCTAATTTTCTTCTATTCATTTTTTACAAATTAAACATTTATAGCATCGCGGAAAAGCAGATTTGACAAAATTCCGGCGTACTGTAGAATCCCTACCAATCTATAATATCTATATCCGAATGATCCAGTAGCTGGAAGACTTGAAGAAGTAGTCGACAGTTATTATAAGGATACACCTCCCATCGGAATTCCAAAAAATCCAAGAAACTGACACGGAGATATCGATTTATTGCTAGACCAGCGACGCGGTTTATGTATAGGATCGTCCGAAGAAGCAAATTTTTGTTGAGGAAGATTATCATGCTTCGAGGGGTCACCAAACTCAAGTTTCCCATTGATTATGAGTTGGAAGTAAGTTTAAAGAGGATCTAGAAAAATAGCTATCGATTGGTGTAAAAATCATAGAGATCCTTCCAATAGAAGCCAAGATATGAAACTCCGAAAAAAAAACTGGAAAAAATTGAATGTTAAAAGTATATCATTTTTAAGTGTCCGAAAAGTTGTTGTAACCTTTTTCAAAGTTTTTGAAATTTTCAGGATATACAAAACAAAACTAGAGCTTCATTTTCGTAATTGACATCTTCTTTCTAGCTACCGTAGTTTTTGAGCTATGCGCCTTTAAACATTTGGTGTTCAGCGAGCGTGCGCGGCGCGATTCCACCTATTACAGAGAGCGCACAAACTTTAAAGGCGCATAACTTTGCTCAAAAACGAGTGGTCTGAAAACTGCAAAAACGGAAATTTGTGATTTTTAAACGGCTACAAAATGATTTAAAATTTGTTTGAACCTTGCTCAATTAAAATTTTCAAAATATGATTTTAGCTTTTCTATTTCAAAAATTAGGGTTTATAACTCCAAATTAGTGTATCTTACTTGCTATCAGTGCTATTAACCTGCAAAATTTATTAAACTGTTTGATATTTTAAAAACGACAAATTTGTAATTTATCATTATACTCTAGCTTCCAAGATTTTCGAGTTATGCGCCTTTAAATATAAGACAACTGAAGAGGAGGCGTAGAGAGGACATGCGAACTTTAAAGGCGCATATCTCAAAAACTACAGTAGCTTGAAAAAAGTTGTCAAAAAAAAATGATTCTCTATTCTTATTTAGTGTTCTCTGAAATTCTTAGGCCCTAATTACCTTTAATTACCCCCTAATTACGTTTCAGATGGCCGGCGAATGGAACTACTTGCATTCTCATACAATTTATTGGAGACATGACAGCGTTTTTCGACTTTTAGACTTCATTTTCACACAAGAAAAAAGGTCTCAAGTGGAAATCAAAAATCCGGAAAATGAAGAAAGTCAGGAGGAAAATCAGGTAATTAAGAACAAGAAAATTTTTTTTTTTGAATTTTTTTCTGAAATTTTTATTTTCAGGTCAAAATTGGATCGGAAAATTTGGGAAACAATGAAGGAGACCAACCAACTACAGTAAGAATTATTTTTGTTTCGAAAAATTTGTTTTTTTTTCAAAATCTCACGATTTTCAGTCTGATCCCAGAAAAGGCCAAATCGAAAAAACTGAAAATCAAGCTGAAACTCAAAAAGTGACTTCTGGAAAAAAAAGTGACTTCTGGAAAAACTTCCGAAAATTCCGAAAATTCTGAAATTCCAACATTTCAAGAATTTTCTGAAACAAATAATGACGCAGCAACCCAAACTGAAATTTCCTATCCAATTAGATCAAATCGGACGAAATCGGCCTAATTTTTTAATTAGTTAATTAGTTAATTATCCTATTTTTGAAATTAAAAAAAATAATTTTGTTATATTCTACCTCTTTTTATTTATTTGAATCTACCTCTATATCCCCCATATCTCTACCTCGGTATTTTTAAAAATTGATGATTTACATAAATTTTTTTCAAAATTTCAGATTTTCTAATTTCAGTCTCAGAATGTTCTAGAACACTCTGAAATGTTCTAAAAAAGAAGTAAAAAACATTTACCACCGAGAGGAATCGAACTCGGTCGTCAGATTGGTAGTTGAAATAACGAAAATCCCACTGAGCCATTTGGACATTTCTCGGAAAAACGCTCAAAAAACCTAGAAAAATGAGGGTTTCAGAGTTAAAAACTATTTTTAACATTTTTCTCGAAAATTTTTTTTCTAGAAATCATATTTAAAATCAATTTTTGGAAAAAAAAAATTTCAAAAATTTTCAAAATTTTGGATTTTTTGAAATTTTCCATTTTTGACATTTAGAAAGTTTTGGCACATCTTCAAAATGACCAAAAAAGATGTAAAAAGTTTTACCGCCCAGAGGAATTGAACTCGGGTCTTCAGATTGGTAGTGGAAATTATGGAAAACCCCACTGAGCCATTTGCGCATTTTTTGCAAAACTGCTGGAAACTGCTGGAAAAATATGATTTTTTAAGTTTTAGATTGATTTTGACCTTTTTGCAAACGTATCTTCATCATTATTGACATTATCAATAAAGTTCTTCATACGAATCATCAACATCAAAATTAGTCATTTCCTAATTTTTCCGATTCTCTTTTCCGATTTTTTTGACGTCAAACTGATAAGAAAAATTGCTTTTTACCCATACTAAATGACCTGGAAAAACGATGCTAGCACCGATTTTATAATTTCAAAATTCCAGATTTTTTTGAACTTCGTAAAAGTCTCACCGAATTCCAATAAACTGAACTGGGCTTAAAGAGATTTCCCTGTGGAATCCAATCTTTAAAGGCGCATAACTCAAAAATCAGAAAAGCTAGCAAAGTTTTGTAAACTACGAAAATGTGTAAAATTTAATTTTACACATTTTTACAGTTATTAACTCTTTTCTAACTACTGTAGTTTTTGAGTTATGCGTCTTTAAACGTTCAGAGAGCGGGCGCGAAAACCAGATTTCAATTCAGTGTATATCCATTTCTAAAAATTCTATTATTGTGCAAATTATATGAAAATACTGGAAATTTTATGGGCTACAAATTTGTAGTTTATAGTTTTACTCTAGCTACCGTAGTTTTTTAGTTATGCGCCTTTAAAGCTCCCGCCACTCGAGAGAGGCGCGGGGGGAAGGGGAGTTGCCCACTTTAAAGGCGCATATCTCGGAAACTACGGTAGCTATGAAAAAAGTGTCAACTACAAAAATGAAGTTCTAGTTTTGTTTAGTATACTTAAAGATTTATCTTTTGAAAGTGTTCTAGTTGTAGTTATTTTTTGAGATCAAAAATTGCCTTAAAATTATTTTTACTCAGAGAGAAAAAAAAATTTTGCGCTCATTTTTCTTCCCCAAAAATTGCGTTTTGTTCTTTTCTGATCTTGATTTTTTTCTCAAAAAAAAAGAACAGGGTTTGTTGACATGACATGTGGTGTTGGCCAAACTTTCGCAATCGGATAGGAATGAAACATGTCTGCGTCTCTATTTTTTCCTTTTCTCTCGCTATTTCTGATCTAAATCGATAGGAAATGATATCTTTTTTTATCATGAGAGATCAATTAACACCAAAAAAGAATACCCGGAACAAGAAATGATTTGTGTGACTAATCATAAGATTTGAAGACCAAAAATAGTTTTTTTTCGAAAATTAAATTTTTTTGAAACAAATTAATATTAATTTTATTATAACTTTTGAACCAATGTTTCTACTTTTGTGATTTTTACATCATTTGATAGACAATTTTCTGTAAATTATGTTAGCTTTTTGAATTTTTGAAAAATATTAAATTTGAAGTGCGTTAGAGCGCATTTACAAAGACACACCCCTTTTTTGCTCTAGCCCCATTCAAACCTCTATAACTTTTTTCATAATTTTTCAAATTTTATGATTTTTACATAGTTTAATAGGACATCTTTTATACATTATTTTAATTTGATGAATTTTTGAAAAATATTAAATTTGAAGCGCGTTAGAGCGCATTTACAGAGACACTCTCCGTTTTGCTCAGAACCCCTCTAGCCCTCTTCAAACCTCTGTAACTTTTTTCATAGTTTCTCAATTTTTATGATTTTTACATCATTTGATAGGAAATCATTTGTAAATTATTTTGAGTTTTTAAATTTTTAGAAATTTATAGTTTTAAAAACTTCTGGAACCTCTGGAGCCATCGACCCCTTTGAAGTGCTAGTGAAGCTGGAGTCAAGACACTGTTTTTTGCTCAGAACGGTTCTGAGCAAAAAAAAAAGCTAAAACATTCGAAAATTTTGTTTTAACAATAGAGTCAAATCATTTGGAATTTCAAAAAAATTTGGAGACCCCGAAAATAAACATTTTCCCCAAAAAAAAAATTTTTTTTTGAAACTTTTTTGTCTAGTTTGATCTCTCTACTACAGTATCCCCTTGTGTACCCCAATACTTGTGTATATTTCACTGTTATCAGTCCATCTTCCTCTCTTTTTTTTTTTGATTCTCTCATTTCAAATGTCAAATGAGTCACTCACTTGTTTGTGTGCCCATCGTAGTCGCTGTCGCTTTCTATTTTGCGCTACAGAACTTTTTGCAATTAGTTACTGATAATTATTTTTAATTCATTCGATAGGAAATTTTCTGTAGATTATTTTGAAATTTTAGTTTTTTTTTAAATTCTAAGCTTGAAGTCTGCTAGAGCGCGTTTACTGCAACACTAGTGTATTTTGATGCTCCCCTAGGTTTAATCCAATGTAACTTTTGTTCAAGTTAACCGATGTTTATGATTTTTACAGCGTTGAATAGAACATTTTCTGTAAATTATTATACCATTTTTAATTTTCAAAAAATTTCAATTTTGACCCCTTCTGCGTCCGTTATGGCGCCGGAATGTCAGCTGGTGAAAAAACATCAACAAGTTTCGCAATTTATTGCTCATTTTTAGCAAAAAAAAATTATTTTATCGAAAATCAAAACTTTGGGATTTCAGATAAAATGAGCTACACAGAAGGCAACTTGCCCCAGGGAGATTATTTCTATGGGAACAATAGTATGGTAATTTTTTTGAAAATTAAGAAATTTAGGATTCTTTAAAATCAGTCATTTCTGCAGGACACCACCACCTACTACCCCCAACAATACCAGCAACAAAACTACAATCAGAATTTCAAAGATCCGGCGGGAAATCAAAATTCTCAAAATTTTGGAAATTTCAAAAATGTTCAAGATGTCCAATTTGACTATATAAAGCAGGGACAGGTCCAGTCACCACAACAGTACACCAACCAGATGGTCCAGAGCTCAATGAGCCCACAGCAATGGAAGCAGGCTCAGGATTTCCAGAAAGCTCAACATGAGCTCTTGGGAATTGAGCCGATGGGAGATGGGCAGATGGATATTCCAGAGGGACCATTATCGATGTGTTCTACAGTATACACGGACCAATTTAGTCCGTATCCAATGCAAAATAACAACAACGATAATGGGGATCAAATTGGTAATTTGTTTTTCAAATTTTTTGATTTTTGCTCATTTTTGAGCTACTGTAGCTTCAATTTGAACTACCGTAAAA